GCCATTGAGACTCTGGTGGCATGGGATGGAGGTTTCAGGGGTGCTCAAGCAAGAGTTGTCCTCTTAGGATTCACAAGCTTAGACACTGTTGATGACTGATATAGGGGGATGACAGAAGGATGAAAGATTAGAGATGAAATTCACCTCTGCAGGCCTATCAGTGGTACATAGATCAGGGACATGGTTATAAAGGAAACAACCAGGGAAATAGACTTGGTTCATCACAGAAATGAAACAAAAACATTATTCTGATGATTAATCCTGATTGTCAAGTCAACTTGACTTGGATGTGTAGCATCTGAGGGATTTATAGATTTACATCTATAAGGACATTTCTGCAAGGATTACTAAGGGGTTGTAGAACCATCCATAGGCTGAGAACAAAGAAAGAATACAATTAAAAAAAAAAACAGTCTTTAATTTTCTGTCTTCCTCTGTCTCTCTGTCTTTTATCTGACTCCTCCTCTTCCCTCCCTTCTTCCATCTCCCTCTTCCTTTCTCTCCCCCTGTTTCTTTCTCCTCCTCCCCCTCCCACTCTTCCTGACTTTCTATCACCCCCCTTCTCCCTGGCTACCATGGAGTGATGTATTCTCCTTCACAGTCCCTACAATAGGGCTGATACTTCTGAAACAGTGAACCTTAAGCTATTTTCTGTGCTACTAATCAATCACACTACATAAAACTTTTTTGAAACTGAAAACCAATACAAATAGTGAGTCACAACTAGAAGTATCTGTAGATTAGGCAGATGACTGTAGATCTTTGGTTTTTACCTGTGATGTGATAGGAATTCTACCCTACCAATCAGTGGACTTAGTACACGAATCCTTGACACAATTCTTCTGTCAATAAATTTTTATATTAGATATTTGGGGTTCTTGTTTGCTTTGGATAATTACAAAATTCCTTTTCCTACCATCAAGCCCAATATGGTTTCAGATGTTTCCGCATACTGATTCAACTAGTGTCTTAGAAGTGAAGAAGGCCATTCAAGGAAACTCCCTAAGAGACAACTGTGTTATTATTCAGGAGTACCCTACAACAAAAGCAGGGTGTTGTTGCCTAGGTCAAATGAGAGACAAACTTGAGTCTTAGCTCTGCCACCTGCCATAAATGCTGTGGTTTCAAGAAAAGACCCAAATGTTGCTACTTTAAAAAGGTGACTGGCATTTATTATCTGCAACTGAGACACCAAGACCTATGGTGGAAAGGCTCTTGGTTTCCATCTAGTTTGCTATGGCAATATATGTGAAAGTAGTAAGTTTCTTGAACATAAACTATTATTAGTTAGAAATACAGAGAGAAGCTAGCACACTCTGAGAAGGAAGATTAAAGCAACATTTTAAAAGCTAAATCACAAATAATGCAGAAAAAACTTTTACAGTTTTCTCAGAATTTTGTTGCTTGTGTTCTTGTTGTCTTCAGAGAGAGAACTAAAAAAAATGTACTTATAAAAGAGCTAGCTGCCTCTTCCTGTGTTTGCAGAAACCTTGTTAAGTTTAATTCAGCCTTAAGACTTACTGGATCATTAGGCTCATTAATTGGCTAGAGCTACTATCACTATAAGATGTAATAAAAAAGAAAATAAATAAATAAAAACCTCACAAAGTTTATATGACATTCTTAAGGTCACATTAGGACCTGGAAAAAGTACCTTCTTTTTCAGACATGCTTTAAGATGGGCATGTATCTAATCCTTAAACATGAAAGTGACTACCCCAGAAAAATGAAGACATATTAGTCCTAAGGAGGCCCATTCCTTGCCTTTCTTCTGTATGGATAAGAATAAACAGTAAATAGTTTGCTATAGTTTGTGCAGTGAAAATATGTATTGTTCATAGTTTCCTTTTGTCTCTTCTCAAATTTTTTTTTATTTTAGACTGGGGTACATATTTGATTTGTTTCCCTTCTTTTTTTTTTTTTGAAGGGAGGTAATATTATTTCTATAAATGTCTTGAACTCTTTGGAGTTGGAATTATTCCTCTCAGTCTCCTAAGATTCTGCATTACCTTTCTGTAACACTATAGAGCACTGTGTCATCTAGACATCTGAATGGTGCTAGGTAGAAGTTTAAGAAAATGCACCTGCTATAATTATAGTCAACTTGATATATAGTCTTGGTTATACTCATAGTGTGTTTTGAGCTAAAAAAAAAAAAAAAAAGAGTTGCATGTACCAGTATTCATTAGAAATCATGCCAAGTTAGAAGGAAGAACATACAGCAGTCTTCATTTCCAAAAGGTTTTTTTTTTTTCCAGGATCTATCAGTACCATGTTAGTTTGTGAGCTTAAAACTTAGAGTTAGAATCTAGGGGCCTTTGGTAAAGGACATAAAGACATACGTGAATTTAAATTAGTGATGTGTGAAATTTGTATAGTTTACAAACAATAGGGTCATGTGTGGACGCTGGATTTGATCTGTGAATTAAGTACTTCTTAAAATGCTCTCTTACTACATTGTAGACACATGACACTAGAGACTGCTCGTCCATTTGAGATTGGACCTGGTATTCATCAATCTCATGTAGTTTTGACAGACTCCTTATACAGACCTATTAGGGTCTGTACAGCAATATGATTTGAAGTCATTTCTTCTAGTGTTAGTCTGTCACCTCAGTTATTCATCCTTCAACTCCCATCTCCAATCCATATCAACACAGTCCTGTCTTTTCTTGTAACATAGTTATCCAAATCATTACATTCTTTGAAAGGATTCAGAATCTTTTTTATTTATTTATTTATTTTATATAACCAAGTCCATTTAAATGAAAACAAACATTTATAGACAATATTTGGGAATTTGGGTGTTGTTCTTTCCAAACTACTTCCTGCTGGTAAGGGGCACTGTCATGGGGGATTCGAAGAAGATTCAGAAATCCTGGCTGTAGTCTGTAAGGCTGTTGTCCAGCTGTTTTGAATGTAGGATCACCTGGTACTCTGTTTCAGGTAGTCTGGCTTGATCAAACCACATTAGTTTGGAAGGAATCCACATCTTTTCATTTTCTATGGAAACAGAATCTTTAATGATAAGAACACAGTCACCATATAGTCATGGCCCCCACCTGACTTAGGAAAACCCTTCTTTGTTCACTGGCTAAAGAGATAGAACTGCAGTTGGACAGACAAATAGATAAAAAGAAATGCACAGGTGCCAACAGAGAGTACATGTCATCAATGAAGGAGACTGTTACCAGGAGTCTGTAATGACTAATCTGGCTTGTCAACTTGGCACATGTTGGAAGAGGGATACTCAATTGAAGTACTGTCTCTATCAGATGGTCTCTGGGCATATTTATGGGGCATTTTTCTTGATCCTAATTGATGTAAGACATCCCAGCACATTTTGTGCTGTAGCCCTCCCCAAGGCCAGTGGGCCTGAGCTGTATAAGAAAGCATACCTCCATTGGTTTCTGCTTTAAGCTCTTGCTTTGGGGGGCCTCCTGTCTTGGCTTCCCTCAGTGATGGTATGGATGCTAAAAGCTAAAATAAACCTTTCCTGCCAAGTTGACTTTGGTCATGGTGTTTATCAGAGGAACACAAAACACACTAGAACAGAGTCTGCATTGGTAATATGTACCTCGTCCTGATGGATGCATATTTACAATGAGGCAAATATGCATAATCAAAAAGAGGAAGGCATTTTGCATTGATCCATTCTGGACACATAACTATTCAGCTTAAAGAATTAGATCAAAGGAAACACAAGTCTTACCTTGACACTGCAGGAACAAAGGTGTGCTATTTTCTTATTATCCTTTTCCATACTAGAGAATGCTCAGTGTTTTAAGCCTCTGCCTCTGTGAGCCAGTCCCTTAAATGTGCCTGTCTTCTTGGAGCAGAAGACCTTGCCAGCCATTATGGGTTGTCTCTTTCATGTCCTTTTTTTTTTTTTTTTTTGTTTCTTCCAACTGGAACACTGACCTGTAAGTCCACGCATATAAGCATATAATGGTGTTTTAAACTTACCTTAATTCTCTTTGTGTAACCAAGATTGAGGCCTTTATTTTCCCATACTGAATGTTTGAATTTCACTGAGGATTTTCAAGTACATTCAACTCTGAAAGAAAAGAAAATAAGAAGGAACACACACACTTGACTGATTGTTACTTGTTAAGATTTTTAATTCTACCCTGCATTATTTTTACTGTGAAACATTTTCATATATTAATTTTATAATCCCACTAGACTAGTTTTAAAAACAGAAATTTATAATAAGAGATACTTGAGTTATTTAATAGATACTTTGTTTTCATTTTCATTTTTCAACAAAAAATAGAGAAATATTGCTTTGTCTAAAAAACCTAATTAGATAGTTTTGTCCTTGTTTTTGAAATAGGATTTTATGTATCCCAGACTAGCCTTACACTTACTTGGCTAGCTCAAACTCCTTATCTTCCTGCCTCCACATCTCAAGGTTATAGAAATGAGCTGCAACATTTGCTCCCTAATTAGATACTGACCAATAATTTAAAAATATTCTGAATATGAACAGCCTAATTAATGTTTGTATCTTTGGGGGACCTGCTTGAGCTTACAGCAGCTTGATATACCATAATTTGCTAATGGCCATGGAAGGCCTGCCCTTTTCTGGGTAAATACAGAGGAGGGATGGATTGGGGCAGGGGAGGAAGGAGGTGAAGAGAGGGAAGGAGAGGAGAGAAGGGACGGGAGGCTACAGTCAGAATGTAAAATAAATATAATAATAATAATAATAATATCTATATTGTATGACATGACCAAAGATAGTACTAAGTATGGATTTAGCATTTTTATATTATGCAATGAAATGAAACTTACTCATTATTTTGTTTTAATAAATATGTATCTCCCAGTAATTGGTGGTTTAATATTTTTTACTCTGATTGAAAATCCTTCTAATATCTACTTGAGTCCAAATTCATAGGTTTGAGATGTGGTTAATGAACTGATAAAGATTTTCTTATATGTTAGTTTCTTGATAAATTCATGTGGGCATTCCCCCCTTTCTGTTTGTCTTATAGTGCGGGTGTTGGCCGGACCGGCTGTTTCATTGTAATAGATGCCATGTTAGAAAGAATAAAGCATGAAAAAACTGTAGATATTTATGGCCATGTAACTTTAATGAGAGCCCAGAGGAATTACATGGTGCAAACAGAGGACCAGTACATCTTTATCCATGATGCGCTGTTAGAAGCAGTGACATGTGGAAATACCGAAGTGCCGGCTAGAAACTTGTATGCCTACATTCAGAAGCTGACACAAATAGAAACAGGGGAGAATGTCACCGGAATGGAGCTCGAATTTAAGGTATGACATTGGCTATAATGTAGTTACTCGCCAGCAAGTTATTTTGTCTTTGAAATAGGCTTCACTTCGTTATCTTTCCATTTTTGAAATACAGGGTTCATTTTGTCTTCTCTGGTATCAGATTATGAAAGACTTTCTTCTTTTTTCTCTCTTATGTTTTTTGTTCCCTAACAATACTGGGGGCCCTTGATGTCCTAATTTAAATTCAGAAATCATGTTCTCAAAATGCAATGTTTACAATATTCAGAGGACTATATGGAATAATTAGCTAAAAGGAAGTGCACTTTGAATATTTACTACCAAGTAAGCAGAAGATTGATATCTAAAAAGAGGATCTTAGGTACACTGCATTCAAATCATTGTCTAAAATTATCTTTGTGATTCTTTTCTTTTTAAATTAAACAGCGTCTAGCCAGCTCAAAAGCTCACACCTCAAGATTCATCAGTGCCAATCTTCCATGTAATAAATTCAAAAACCGCCTTGTTAATATTATGCCATATGAATCCACAAGGGTGTGCCTGCAGCCTATCCGAGGAGTAGAAGGCTCTGATTACATCAATGCCAGTTTTCTTGATGGATACAGGTATCTACCCCTACTCCCCTGACAATCCAAAGCCTTGATATATGCATGTGCCCTAGATTTATAACAACACCAAATTTATTATCAATTCAAAGCCATTTTCCTTTTGAATAGATTATCATTCAATTCCTTGGTGGGGGTGGTTTATTTTTATTTTTTAATTTTAGATCAAATTAAGCAATTATAATGGAGTTGCTATTGCATGTGGGAGTGGGCAAGTGTGCTTATGTGATATATGCACATGCTTATATGGGTGTACACACATGGATGGGTATGTTCATATTTATACCAGTGGAAGAATATTGGTATGTGTGCAATACCAGTGTGGTTGTGCTGTGTGTGTGTGTGTGTGTGTGTGTGTGCATGTGAATACCAGAGATGCATGTCTTCCTCAGTTGTTTGCCAGATTATTTTGGAAGTTTCCAGATTATTTTGGTCTTTGAAGTTAGAGCCCATCCCTTCAGCTGAACTGGCTAGCTAGTGAGATTTAGTGATCTACCTGTTACCTACACACTCAGACACACAAACACACACACACACTTTCAGCACTTTTTATGTAGATTACTGAAGACCTCAACAGCAGATACTTTACTGCCTGACCCATCTCCTCAACCTCCCATTATTGCTTCTTTTAAACTGACCTTCTCACCTATTCTTTCAGAAACCATTCAGATCTAGCAGTTGATAAAACAGCTACTTTAGGGCATTTCTCATAAGCTTAATTGATTATATGAGCATTGTTTCTTGAAAATGAAGTCACTCAACTCAGCATGTAAGTGATTTGTATAACACATAAAATTGAGCTATTAGCATTGCACTAAATTTAAATACCAAAGATACGGACATACATAATAATATGAACAATTCAATTGATTTTTTCCAAGTCCCCAACATGTACTAAATGATCTCATTGATTATGTATCCTAATGGGAATCCCTGCAATTGAATTAATAATGTATTTAGGATTGGTTTTAACAATTCACAAATCAATTTGTGCTTGTCTTCAACGTACTTTCACATTTTCTTTTCATTCTCTCTATTCAGACAACAGAAAGCCTACATTGCTACTCAGGGGCCCTTAGCAGAGACGACTGAAGACTTCTGGCGCATGCTGTGGGAGCACAATTCCACCATTGTTGTGATGCTCACCAAGCTGAGAGAAATGGGCAGAGTAAGTATGTCACCCAATTTGGAAAATCACATCAAACTCACTAATTTACATGGCTTTTGTAAGACTCAGTACCATGGGTGTAGTGACCTACAATCACAGAGACAAGTAATTCAGTAGGTGGTGCCCACTGACTTTTGTTGGACTCTCAACATAAGCTTTTTACCTTTTGCCTGAATAAGTTAGAACTTTATGATCAAATGTGTCATCATTTCCCCATGTAAAGGAACATAAATTTGTGATTTTTTTTTTTTTTGTTCCTAGGCCAACCTGTACTTTCCCCTTCCATTTAGCATGGTGCTGGAAAGCCACACAGTATTTCTAAAGTGCTAATAGCAAATTTGTCTTTTTAAGAATAATTATTGTCAAGTACACATAAAGTAGCATCCCAGATACTTGAAACCCTACCACCTGAGAGCTAAGTTTGCCATACTGTTGGAGATAGTCTCATTCTGTCTCTTCATTTTATAATAGACTTATGGCTAAAAACCAGCTTTTGGAGCTCATTTAGAAAGCAAAAAGATATAAGGCCAAGAAGTTATCTGGCTCGTCTTAATCTAGCTGCTGATTCTGCAAGGCTTACAACACAAGTCACCAGAACTCCCGAGACCCCAGGCTCCTCAGTTGACAGCTAAATGGGACTAAATCAATACACACACTGGCTTCCTTCTGCTTCATCCTTGGTGATTTCCTAATTACAAACCACAGTGGTTTAAAACAAATGTACTGAAGTAACGCAGAACCAAAATGGACAGCATTGCATAAGGACTTATGTAATTATTTAAGTGATTCACAGTCCCTGTTGAAGTACATAGTTCAATTGCTGTTTAATAAAGTGGCATGGTTTGCCAGACTCTGTGCTAGGGTTTTCTGAGAAAAAAAAATTTACATGGATAGTTTGCCTGTCTTCAGGCTAGGGGTTCAAAAGAATTGGTTCAAAAGAGCATGCAATTGAAATTGCCTTGATTTCAGAATTTTATTAACAAGAGAAAAAATTAGATAGGCAAAACTTTGTTGGCAACTTATAGAGTTTAACATTAATCTCTCCTTTTAGGAGAAATGTCACCAGTACTGGCCTGCAGAACGATCTGCAAGATACCAGTATTTTGTTGTGGATCCCATGGCTGAGTACAACATGCCGCAGTATATCCTGAGGGAATTCAAGGTCACAGATGCCAGGGTAAGTTCAGCTATGCCATTAGCTAGAAAGTAGGGTGAGGTGTACTTCCCTGGGAGAAATGTTTGCCAAATAACCATTCTCAAAAAGAAAGTAAATCACCCATTATGGATGACTTTAAAGGAAAAGAATCTGTAACTTTACCTGTGTCTGAGAAGTGTTCACATAAACCCCAGTTTGGCTTCCCTTCAAATGTACCACCTGGAAGCCCAGCTTTGGGGAACTTGCTTGGAGAGTGCCTGTGCTGGGAAGCATTTACTGATTGGTTGACTGCACTTAAGTTCACCTTCTCAGCACATTCTCATTGGTGAGTTTTTGATTTCTTCATTACTCCAGGCTGTAAATATGTTGTTGTTTGTACAGCTCTTGAGGTCATATGGGCTTGTAGGTTAATTTGGTATGACTTTCAAACTGCAGAGCAAATGGCATTCCTTGGAAGGTTCTGACAAGCCTTGCACATTCTAATTTGCTTCCTGGCATGGTTTATTCCTCCATGTGCTAATGTGTCTGTCCATGAAAACTGTGAACTGACAACCCTTGTTGGCTAATTTTCATTCTTCATTTCTTACAAAGATTGCTGAGTCCAAGGTTCAGCCCAATGTAAGAGATTGTATGCATAAACTTTAATATATTTGCCATTAGAAATTCACAAACCATCATTGCAAACACATCTTAGGGAAGGCCAGATCAGCTCAAAGCCCTGCTTTATTTTTGGAACTGTCATAGTGGGTGGGTTGGCTAAAGAGAGTGTGTAATTGATCCATTGTTTTATTAGAAAACCTGTTTTCACTCAGCTCATGTTTGTTTGCTAATCCCAGAAGTTTCTCCCTGGCTGTGACAGGGAGGACAGAAACCTAGACAAAGAGACTATGATTCACAGAAGGGTTGACTCAGGTGATAGACTTGATAATCCTAGGAAGTGTAGTGTATTAATTACTCTGAATGAGACTACATCAAGAAAGCTCTTATGTTAAAAGATCTCATGTTTTTAATTGTCTAAGTAAGCATGCCCTGATGCCTGCCAGTATCACTACAGTGTGAGTCAAACAACTAAGTTCCTTGAAAGTAAATTTCCTAGCTATTTCCAATAATAGAAAAGAAAATGCAGGTTTAACCCAAAGCAAACACATTCACCTAGCTCCTAGTTAAACCTAATCACATTGAGAAAGAAAGAATAAAGCAGAACTTGCTCACATTGTTTTAAAGTCTCTCTGTGCTCAACTGCTAGATCCCTTGTTCATGCTCCTAGTATGCCTTTCATCTCAGCTTCTGAGTTCAGAAAGCCAGTTGCCATGTGAGAATACAGTATCGTTAATCAACCAAACTTTAAAAGGCAGGTGGTTTCTCCTCCAAATAGTGTTTGAGCACATGATCTGTTCTTGACATGACAAGTGACTATGGTCAAAAGTGAAATCTTCAGGACACTCAGAAGACAATTCTGCATTACCTAGTCTCCAACTTTCTTCCTTGTGCCCTCCAAAACTTTCCAAGAAAAGGCCCTGAAAAGTCAAGCTTCCATAGCAAATATCTAGGAGCTGGTGATGTTGCCAAATACTCTGTATGATCCTCTATATTCTCTGGAAGTTGGTGTGATCCTCCGTTCTTCTCTTCTCAAGCATCTATTGTACCACTAGGGCACTGTGGCTATCCTGAGTTGAGCCACTTCTCTTTTCAATTTGCCTGCAATTGAGTTATCTCCACAAAGCTTAGAAATGTGCATGCCTGGGCCCTGAAGAACCTTAGAAGGAAAGATTAGTTCTCAAGAATGGGAAGCAGGACTCCACTGGGGGTACCTCTTCAAATGAGATCAGTGCCAGCAGACATGAGTTTAATTATGCTTCTCTGGATGGATCAGAGCAAGAATTCCTGTATCTATGAGCAAAGGGTCCCTTCTGTTGTTGTACTTCAAACAATTCCAGAAAGAATCTGAAGTATCTCGTGTCATTATCTTCTTGACATGGTTCTTCTTCAGCACAAAGTTTTTATATTCACTTTAGAAAATAAGTTAATAGAAGTACCAAGTAAATGCCTTAGACATCCATCATCAAGCTAATACTTTTGATAGTTACCATGTATAGAAAAAGGAATTTTTAGTAAAAGAAGTTCACCCATTTCTTTTTTGAATTATCATATTTTAGATATGGCTTGTTTTCATAGCACTTTAAGGCTGTCTGTGTGAGCTACTTAATTCCTGGAGTTAGTCAGGAAGATACCTCTGGGAAAAAAAGGAAGGGGGGGGGAAATACTTGCAAATAATCCCCTTGGATTCTTTCTGTATTAGTTTCTTCTTCTATTCCTGTGATATAAAGGCTGGCAAAAAGCAACTTGGAAGTAATGATTTGCTTGGCTTTTAGGTTCCTCATCAAGGGAACCAGGGCAACAGCTCCAAGCAGGAACCTGGAAGCAGGACCTGAAGCAGAAACCATGGAGGAACACTGCTTACTGTGTTGCACTCCATGGCTCACTAGCTTGATTTCTTGCACCATCCAGGAACATCTGTCTGTGGTGGCATTGCCACTTTTGACTGCGCCCTCCCATATAAATCATTAATCAAAAAACTCTCCATATAGGTGCACACAAGACAAACTGATAAAAACAAGTCCCTTCTCTCAGAGACTCTGGGTTGTGTCAAGCTGAGTAAAACAAACTGGCAGAGTGTCCTCAAGCTGAGATTTAAGAATCATTACATGGGTCATGGTGTGCCTCACACATGGCTAGAAAGAGATTACCTGAGAGACATGTGGGGTAGCCAGGTCAACAACAGCTACCTGGTTTATATTAGCTTCTTTAAATGTGGCCATTTGTCATTTACAATGTTAGAAATCAGCATGCATGGCTGAAGTGAAATTGTTGTGACCACAGCAAGCCTCTGATGTGGATGCCACGCCTACATACTCCTTTCAACATGGAATAATTACTAGATAGAAACAGAGTATGTAAGATTTGGGAGGGACACATATAAATGTGTGTGTGTGTGTGTGTGTGTGTGTGTGTGTGTGTGTGTGTGTGTGTTCATGTAATGATTTCAGATTTAAACTTTGAGGCTCAGAAGTGAGTGCTTCTGAAGAAGATAACTCAAAAATTTGTAATTTAAATATATCTAAATGTTGATAGTGTTAGCTGCAGATAATCCACACACATAACTAAGTTTCTCTGGACATGTTCCTAATGTTTTTCTTCTCTTTTTATTTTTTTGGGGGAAAAATCATGACTGCTCTTGTGGTTTATGTCCTTGCTGAATTCTCCTGGCACGCTTCTTCATGGCTGGTTGTGTGGCTTCCGCTCTAAAGGACGGCCAGTCCCGAACAGTGAGGCAGTTTCAATTCACTGACTGGCCAGAGCAAGGAGTGCCAAAGTCTGGAGAAGGATTTATTGACTTCATCGGCCAAGTCCATAAAACAAAGGAACAGTTTGGCCAAGATGGGCCCATTTCAGTGCATTGCAGGTGAGCAGGGAGTCACTAATGCTAACTAGACATTTAGAATTAATGCTAGGCAGCTTTATTTACTGTTCTTTATTTACTCCGTATACAAGCTTGTTAGAATCAATCTGTAAAGTTGAAATTGATTTTCAGCATGTACTATGGAACATAAAGATTTGTTTCTTTTCCTTTCCATAAAATGAAAAGAATCAGAGGAATGTTTTTATTCCCAAATTTGGTCCCTTTTTAAAAACAAAACAAATAAAACAAGAAACCAGTTTTGACTCTCCAGGATTGTGGGTGTGTCCCCTAACAATAATGTATAGCACTAGTCCCTGTCAGTGTCTGCTTTCTTTCTGAGTAGCTGCACTTACAACTGCCCTTTTGTATCTTTCCCTTTATCTCTTGAAAGAACTGCAAATATCTGCCAAGCCTTAATAGCAATACTAATTCCTCCAAGTCAATAAGTGATTAGTATGGTGCCTCAGTTCAAAATGCAATTTGCTTGAAAATTGTTGCTATATCAGAAAATGAAGCACCTTCAATTTAATTATTTTCAACAGTTTCTAGAGCATTTTGTAATTTAAGTCACTGAAGTTAATAGAAATACCAGGAGAATGCCTTAGACACCCACCATAAATTTAGTGCATGTGGAAGTTGCTGCATGTGCAAAAGGAATTCACCTAATTTTTTTTTAATTACCACATTTCAGGATGCTAAAAGTTTGAAGTTTATGTTTTTAATATATTTATAGTCACTCTTAAGAGCATTTATGTTTAAAAAATCTGGTACTTTAAAAACTGTTTTTAATACTGTAGGAAGCAAGACCTCAAAATGAAAAAAAAAAAAAAAATAGACATAGGCATCAGGCTACACACTCTTATCCTGCATCTATACTTTCACAAATGTGTACAACACTGAGCTTCAGTTTTCTCTTCAGGTCTCTGTGATCATTTTTAACAATACTTTATTTCTCAGACTTGAAAACATTTGTCTTATGCTGTCAAAATCCCTTGCTACATACAACTAAAGAGAGAATAGGATGTGATATATGGACTCTAGGATTTAAAGTTGATATTATAAACGAAAGTTGAAACATTTAGTTTTTGTTGTTGTTGTTATTAATGTAGCATAATTTCTCCACTTAATTCAGACTTTCTCCTTATAACCTCTAGGGAAAAGAATATATCTGATAGTCATCATTTAAGCTTAAGCTGTGTGTTACTTCTCTTTGGGGTTGTTTTTAGACATGATTGAGAAACTCCTTAGTACAAAGGTTCACATGCTATATACATGTGTGTATGTGTATTCACATATCTTATTACCTTCCAAAGTCTTCTTTTCTTTTTCTTTCTTTTTTTCTTTTCTTTTTTCTTTCTTTCTTTTTTTCTTTTCTTTTTTCTTTCTTTTTTTCTTTTCTTTTTTCTTTTCTTTCTTTTTTTTTTTTTGGATGTTCCAGAATAACACTGATAATTGGTACGAAAAATGAACATACTTACATTCAATAAATTTAGAAACTAATGAGAGAGATGCCTGTTCTTGAAAATTTCTTAGTAGAAATCCAGAAACACTATGTTTTTGGGTTACATTTGATTAACCAAGTCAAAGTAAGGTACACCCTGGAATACCTGGATGATTTGACAAAATTGTCACAATTCAGAGACTCTCATAAGTGTGGGAGTCATGGGGCTGAAGGGAGCTGCAATATCATTTGGCTGTTGTTGGGGCTGAATAACTTCAGCTCCTTTTTAACAACTGCCTGTTGATTTGAAGCTTCATTAGCATTTTTCCTTAGATTCATGAGAAACTGCAGTTTGTAAAAGCACACACTATTTATATATGCCTGTCAGCTCCATCCTGGAGTAAATGAATCCATCTATTTTCTACAGTCTGTGCCCAAGCCTACACACACTATTTAATTAAAGTCCAAAAATGTAAGGACTTTTTTTTCCGATTATTCAGTGCTCTCATTACCTAAACCCCTAGATGCCACTTCTTAAGAGCACAGGGTTATCAATTGTTCTTCTTTGATGCTATGAAGATTCTGGAATTACCTTAAAATATCAATGGAAACAGAAAGAAACTCAAAACCTTGCTGTAACATAGCAAGAAACTTGGGATATTTTAGCTGCTGATCAACTGAAAATAAGCAGTTCAGTGTAGAGCACATTCGCTCTTAGCTACACAGTCAAAGGCCCTTCTCAGAATCTGTTGAATGGTTCCTGAAATTGAAGTATAGTGTGATATTTCCACAATCAATGAATGTAGGATTTTCATAGTTTCTCAAAGGCTAAGAGAAACACCATCCCATAACAAAAGACTGTTATAGAATCTGTTTTTTCATACCTAACCGGATGTCAATTGTGAACTAGTCTCAATGCCTTGGTGCACACTTGTTACCTGTTTAGATGATGACATATCCTTCATGGATTATGCTATTAGTGCAAGATGTGTTCCACTTTATTCTAATGAAGCTCATACTTTTAAAAAGGTAAAGTCTTCAGTTTCAGAATCTATATAAATATAGAAGAATATTTTCTGTTCATACTTTCCTATATTTATTTTATAGTATAATGTCTTAACCTTTTCAACTGGTGTTACTCAGTGTTATAGAAATGCATTCTATTTCATAAGACCCAATCCTAACTACTTAATCTTGTATAGTAGACGCATTTCCACTTTATGTTGAACATGCTTGTGGAGAAATGGGGAATAGGGGAGCTGGTAGAAGAATGTCTGCTTCCAAAGCAAATGAGGCCAAGACTATGAGCATGTTACTCACATTCCCTTTGTTCTTATGACAGTGCTGGCGTTGGAAGAACGGGAGTCTTTATAACCCTGAGTATTGTGTTGGAAAGAATGAGATATGAAGGGGTGGTAGATATCTTCCAGACAGTCAAAATGTTAAGAACACAGCGACCAGCCATGGTACAAACAGAGGTAAGAAATCATTTGGTATCACCCTCCAAAACCCTAAGCCCTCTGTGGGTTCAAAATACATTTGAAAACTATAGAAGATCACTATGGGTAAAACAACCAATTGTTTACTTAATATTTTAAAACCAGGGCTCCCCATTCTTTAAATGTGGAGACCAAAAAAAATCTTGAAGTTGTTGTAAAGATTCTATATTAGGTTGAAATATATTACATTATAGCTATTTTACATTGCAGTGTGTGTGTGTGTGTTTGTGTGTTAATGAAAACCTTGCACCTAATTGTAGATAGAGATATAAAAAGCCAATGCCTGGCAAGTAATATTCCACCATGTACTTTTCCTGTTCTGTTTGCTTACAGAGACACAGGTGCTTTTATTTTGTTCCATACCACTGGCCATATTAAATATTTGGAACCTGAAAATGCCATTTTCTATTCACTAATTTACATGTATATTTCTCAGTAGAAGTTCATGATTTGGAGTATCAGAGTGGCAATGTTTATATTTCTCAGAAATCTACCAAATTATGCATGTTCTTCAATTTACAGTATCTTTCAGACTTTGATTTCAAAATAGTCCAAGCATTTGGCTTGCAATACTTAAAACATTATGTCAGCCTGACAAACATAATGGGTGTTGGGGTGACAGAGGAAAATTGGACATTTAAAAAGCCTTAACACTTTGCCAAGCAACTTACTGTGACAACACAGAAAAGCAAACTCCATTTACTTTGCATTACCATTTTTATTGTAGAAAAATGCACATTTAAGCAAAATAGAAGCTATCTACTTTCAGCCCCATTGGCTACTGAAAATAAGTTTCTTTTATGGGGAAAATCCTACTTTTTCTCATCCCTGTGGTTATCTGTAAATTGTAATTTTTCCATCTCCCCAACAGTGCTCCAATTTATTTCAATATGACAGGTCCCTTCCTTGGGTGAGAAAAGGCATGTTTCATGCCATTCTATTTTGGTATGAGTATTCCAGAACTGATAACTTGCAATCCCACTGAATTGTAGAACAAATGGTACATGTATTTTGGGTGTGGGCAGTCATTCTCAGGGGTAACAAGCCAGAAAGCCCAAGGTTCCATAAACACATTGTGTGTTTGCTGCTCCTACAAAGCTACCTTTCACTTCTGTCTTAGGGCTTCTATTACTGCAGGGAAACACCCTGTGAAACCAAGTTGGGGAGAAAGTCTTATTATTGTAGCTTACACTTCCACAACACTGTTAATTGTTGAAGAATGTCAGAACAGGAAGTAAATCAGGGCATGATCCTGGAGGCACGAGCTGATGCAGAGACCATGGAGGGGCGTCTTTATTGGCTTGCTTGCCTTCCTCAGCCTGCTTTCTTCTAGAACCCAAGACTACCAGACCAAGGATGACCCCACCTACAAATAGGCTAGTCTCTCCTCCATCGATCACTCATTAAGAAAATAACCTCCAGGTTGCCTACAGCTCAATCTGATTGGAAACATTTTTTTTTGTAAAATTTAGGTTCTCTCCTCTCAGATAACTTTAACTTGTATCAAATTGACATAAAACTATCCGGCACAACATTCTTTCTCATAGGCACATAGGCTCTTTTCTGTTCCTGTCACTTACGTGGGTCTATGTAACATGATAACATGATGGTAATTGAGTCTGATATCTGATATGATTCTTTTTTTTTTATTATTATTATTATTTTTTTTTTTTTTTTTTTTTTTTTTTTTTTTGGTTTTCGAGACGGGATTTCTCTGTAGCTTTGGAGCCTGTGCTGGCACTCACTCCTGTAGACCAGGCTGGAACAGGCTGGCCTCAGACTTAGAGATCCACCTGCCTCTGCCTCCCAAGTCCTAGCACTACATTTTTTCTTTTATTTGTGTGGGGGCAAAAGTACATTTGTCATAGACTACATGTGTGTAGGTCAGAGGACAACTTATGAATATCATTTCTCTCATTCTGTTATTTGGATCCCGGGAATCATGCTCAGGTACTCAGACCTTGAAGCAAGTGCCTTTAACCAGTGAGCCATCTTACCTATTTCATATATATATGAAATATCAAATTCAGTGGAAAGCAACCCAGAAAATATAATTCCAGATTGCCTTTAGGAAAGTTTACATTTTTTCCAACTAAATATAATCACAGATACTTAGGTCATTGTGAAAGATAGCCGTAGCACATAAGAAGGATAATATTCACTGGAGGTATTGTGGGTTAGATTTAGAAGCCTTGTATCAGTCAGGTTGACTGGTGAAGTTAATAAAATCCTCACATGGTTAAGTGTTCTTTGCTCACAGTTGCTTAGTTTTGCTGCCTTGTAGACATAACTTTTTCTTTACATTGATGCTTTTATTTTCAATTAAAATGTCAATTTTCTTCATCTCTCCTCTTCTACCCTGTTTCCTGCAGGATCAATATCAGTTCTGCTATCGAGCCGCACTAGAATACCTGGGCAGCTTTGATCACTATGCAACGTAGAATCCCCTGCCCCCTTCCGGATTTTTACTACAGGCCCTTCTCTATCCATGGAGTCTCTTCTGAGCCATACAGGGCACTTGAGAAGTCCTTCTTAACTTCTAGTTAACATCCACTTAGTGGGACTATTACAAAACAAACACAAACTCTTCCAAGTGGACCAAGAATTCACAGTTTAATAATCATCTAACCCGAAAGATAATAACAAGGACCCTGACTTAGGAGGCATCTGAAGGATTTTATTTACAGATACCTCAAGGATTCAAAATAAAGGGAAGAAGAAATGACAGCAAAGAACTACCATCTTGTTCAGGATTGCTTGTTAGGGACAGAAAGAGCTTGCCTGTGGGCCTCAGTTCAGCACAAGGAGTTTGCTGGTGTGGCTTCTCAATATAAGGTGAACTCTGCTTCAACATCACACCTTTCCCCATGCCACTCATACTTACATTTTAAGGGTAAGGGTGGGGATGTTTAAAAAGAAAGTCCTTGATTTCAGTTTAGTATTGTAAAAGATTCTGCTGACCTGTGCTTCATTTCTAACTGTGTAAAGTTTTTTTTAAAAAAACAAAAAACAAAAAAAAAACAAATGTATCATTCAATAAGGTAAATTTAAAAAGTTATGTATTCATTTTTCCCTGAACTATAGGGTTTTCTTTTTAAGCTGTAGAATGGTTATCTGTAACATCTTACTGTAGAAATATCAAATAATTTGAAACTTTGCACATTTTTGTGCAACACTCAATCTACAGTCTCTCAACAGATATTACACACACATTTGTTTGGTATAACTGATGGGAACATGCCCATTTTCTGCAAGCTTCAAGGGGAATTTTGGTTTGCTTTGTTTTGTTTTTGGAATCAACAGGGAGGCGCAAAGTATAAAGTTGCTGCTAACATTTATATATATATAGATAGATATATAGATAGATGGATATCCTTAATATATAGATATCCATCTCTCTCTATCTATCTATATATACATATAAAATAGATAGCTAGATAGACACTATGTCCATACAAAGATTTAACTGCCATTCAGTTCTTCCATAGTTTAATTTTTTAAGTGTAAAAAGTGATTGTAACCATCTTTTCCCAGTTATTTTTAATATTTCCAAACTTTAATTTGTAAAGGGAATTGAGGAGTGCACATCATTGATTATTAAACCTTGCCCCTGACTTTCCTGCCCTGCATTCCCCACATATCCCATCATATTCACAATACTGTTTTGTTAGCCAGGCTTCCAACAAACTTCAATATTTCTAACACTCTAGTGCAATAACAACTGTTAAAAATCTAAGAGGTGTGCATGTGAGGAAGGTCAGTGCATATCCCTTTAGGAGAGAAGAATGTTGTAATATATCAGCTATCAAGTTGTTTTTTTTTTTTTTTAAAAAAAAAAAGTATATTCAATCATATATTGTCTATAGTATGTGCTATGAAATTTGCATTTATGATATGTAACAGGGGCAAAGCCAAACTCATGTTACTCTTTTCAGTCAGAAACATGTTATGGCTGCAGCATCCCTGGGAGGCGCTGCACTGTTTCTTGTAGCTGTGGTATTCCTGGGAGGTGCTGGGCTATTTGATTTGGTTTTAGTTCTGCATTTAGAGTGCCTTATAATTGATGCCTATTTTAATAGCATTTCTTTTTACCTTTTGGTTGATTTCCATTAGTTGTTCATGTCTGTTACTCTTTCAATTAAAGCATTATCTGTTTACCACATGTATATAAACTCTTTGAATAATATGCATTCCTAGTTTTCAGCCAAGTGGGGGATGTTAGTGATTGTACCAGCCCAAAGCACTTGGATAATCAGGGCCTCTCCGTTCATCATTGTCACATCAGGAAGAGCAACTTGTTTCACTTCTAATCCCTTCTGCTCTGGAGCACGCAGTAACCACCAGTCTTATTTACAGAAACAACTTCGGGATATATTTGATATTCCATTAGGAGTTTTCTGAAAGGGGCAATAAATTAATAGATAGATAGATATACATATATATGTATATGTATGTATATGTATGTATCTCCCCACACCTTCCAACAGCATTTCCATAGGAAGCCATGGAAGGTGGCATGAGTTTGCCACATGCTATATGATTTTAAATACCCTACCCAGATCCTAAGAACTCTGAAAGAGTTTTGATACAGGTATAATATTTTGGTTTAATTTTAGCTTCATGATGTTCTGCATGGAAGTGTATTTGTTTTCATATTTTCCCATTATTAGCAGAATAAAATCCTAGAGACCAAACACTTGCAAGTATCATATTTGAACATTTTTATATAAAAAAAGAAATGAAAATAAAAAATGAATAAAAAAAGTAGAAATATATATAACACTAAGAAAAAGAAAAAAAAGAATCTAGAAGGCTACCTCAGAATGAGACTCTCTAACCTACATCGGAACCAGAGAAGAATGTGCACTATGTGGGTCTGTTGTTTTCTTTTCACTTGTATCGCTGAAGATTTATCCAAGTGCCAGGTTGCTCAGTGCTGTGATTTTGTTTTAGGGAAACAAAGGGAGTCAGACAAGTGGTGTATCATCTAGACATGCCATTTTGGACATGTGGGATCTAATGGAATATCACATACTAGAATGACTGGCCAGTGAGCAGTTTGTCTCTCTGCAACAAAAGCAGACCATATGGCAGAGAGTGAGCTAATAGTAATCACCGAAAGAAAATGAATAGGACAAGTACCATAGGAGGATGAGGCAGGCACTACTCGGAATCAGGAGCTGTTCCTAGAACTAACTCCCCACTGTCATTGATGTGCATTCCACTCTGTACTTTTCTCTATGACCATTCAAATTTAATTTCTGAGGCAAACACTATTATCTGCCATTATCGTAATCATCCAAGTTTCTAGTTACTTTCATCATCATAACCAGTACGGTGCTATTATTTACCTATGTATGTGTAGTTATGTATAATTTTGTAATTAGTTACAATGGTAAAAATATCAAATATATAAAAGTGATTTGTACAGAACTTTATTTTAGCTCTTTTTTAAAAATGGTTTGCATGGTTAGACAAGGCAAGGACAGCCAGGGGAGGGAAGGGCCTCTAGGGAACTTTGCACTTTCTATACCTTTGTACTATGCACTGCCCTATTGATTCTATACCCAATAATGTTATTACTTGAACCCATCTGTAAGAAACTTCTTCAGAAATTCATTTTTGTGTCTGTGGATAACACATCAAAACAGGAAAGGAAAAATGCATAGTAGCACACACAGTTTTTTCTTTCCTTCTGAGTTTTAATTTAGCTTTGTTTCAGTCTTTCTTGTCATTTTAAAATCCCCTTCCCATTTTTTTTCTTTTGTTTTTGGGTTTTGATTTCCATTGGGTATATGGGTGCCCTGATACTCCAGCAGAGATCAGAAGGCTACAGATCCATCCTATCCATCTGTTACATGGCTTTGCCATTCAAGCTTGGAGTGTCTTTACAAAGATAACAGTTGTGTTCTTTGCTCTCGTTTTGGATGCATAGACTGAAAACTCAAACAAAAAAAAAAAAGAAAAAAAGAAAAAAAAAAAACCTTGTAAAATGGCTTGTTAAAAAATACAATTACCTCTAATTAGTAGTACGCATAAGTGTTTTACAGAATGAAAGGCGTGCTTTTTATTTTCTTACTTCGTTACATTGGTGGCGAAAGAAGTCTGTATGAAAATCAGTTCTTTGCTGACACAGGTTCCATTTGTTACAAATGAATTCTAATAAAAATGTCAGTGTTATGCAATCCTGGCCTTGGTTTTTGTCTATCCCATGCATGCTACTTTCAAACTAACTACTTGTTGCCTCTTTTCTGACTCTGTGCTTAGGTCCTATGTACTGGTAGGAATTATATTTACAGAGAACCTACTACTCACAAATGTCTACCCTTGAGGTCAGCACTTTCCATTGCTGAGCAAACAAGTTCAGAGAAATAATTCCACATATTCACATAGTCAAGAAAGTGGTGTTGTTTTCATTCATGGTTGAAAGCATAGACAATGTCACATCCTGTGATAGGTCTACTGTATAATGTAGGTTGTGTATGTCAGTATAATGTTGAGAGAAACCTTATCTTTCCTTCACCTACAACTAGTTAGTTCCATGGTTAGCCTATTGAACATTTAGAAGCATGGCTGAGAGAGCACTTGGCTTTGAATTATTTACTCAGACCCTTAGTAGTACTAAATTGTAACAGTAGATTAGATTTGTTCCATGTATTGGAGAAATAGCTCTGAAAAAGTGAGGTATTCCTGCACACAAGGATTATTCTGAGAACAGCTGGTGCTGAATTAATGGCAACATCACATTCAGACATGTTTTCAAGGAAAGTACAGCATTCTGAAGCAGGCTGGTCCATTGTAAGTTATTGAAGTTGGCCCACAGAAAAAGAAACGTGTCTGAAGATAGGAGGGAAAAGATTCACATTGAGTTATCGGATAAAGATGGGTTTCAGGTGACCATTTCCTTGCAAAAATCAGTGACTATGAGGACAGCTGAGCTACAATTAGCTGTAAACCTGAGTCAAGGTGAGACATGTCAATCAGCATGATCAAGGAACTTGTTGCTGTGGAAATAACTACTTAATGCAGTGATTCTATTACTCAAGAATGATTTTGGAAATCCTGACACTGAGTAAGTAACCAGATTTGCTTTTCTTTGTTTTCCCCCTTTTGCTTAACTGGATTTTAGTGTTACAGATTTTATCACCTTATTGATTTATTAATTAGGTATTACTATGCTTTACTAGAAAACAGGGACTGAAAGTTCACAGTACAGCATACATATTTAGGTCACTACAGTTTACTCCTTTAAACTGGTATCTGAAGAGAAGGCCAGAGATGACAGGGATAGTCTAACTTTATACATCTACACACATGCCAAAATTATTGGTTGAGAATTACTGTGTAGTGGTTAATTTAGGGCTCCTACACTTAATCTGGCCCATAATTAAACTTTAAAAGAACTTTTAACAAAGTAAAGTTTAATTTGCAAAGGTATCTAAGATGATGGCTAAGATCATTCAGGGGCCTCTCCCTGTAAACACTTCCCACTAAACTAACTTCACAAGAGCTAAGGATATCATGTAACATAGACTCTACTTTTGTTATTTAAAAACAACAAGAAGGAAAAGCAGGAAA